CTTTTTTTATTTTTTGAGACAAGGACTTGCTAGGTCACAAAACTGCCTAGGTTGCATTTGAGATTTCGATCCTCTTGCCTCAGCCTTGCAAGATTACAGGCATGTGCCACCAAACCTGGCATACTCCTTATTTTTTTATATCAAATATTGATTCATGTATTGGTACTCTCTTATGGGTAATACACTATCATCCCTGAGACTGAATGTATAAAAGATTTAAACATTTAAAAACTGCTTCTTGGTAGTAAGAATTTGAGATTTAAAGCAAGTAATTAATTAACCTTTTGATACCTGGGGGCAAAGGAGTTTTCTTCTGAATCAAAACCACTGCAACTTTTGTGTTTCTTCCTTGTAAACTTTGTCTGGAATGGAAAAAATAACAATAAAATTAATTAATTAGTTTTAACTAAATGTATTCAAGGTTTTACATAAAATACATTGATAATTCAATTGAAGACAAATTTCAACTAAAAAGATCAAGAGCAGAGTAACTATTTTCCTAAACACAAACAACATATGCCATAATAATTTTAATTTTAAAAGTATAACCTAGCACACTTCTGTAATGAGAGGCCGAGGCTGGAGGCAAGTTTGAGCCCAGCTTGGGCTATTTAGAAATTTAGCAAGATCACATCTCAAAATAAAAAACAAAACAGGGCTGGGGATGTAGCTCAGTGTAAAGGCCCTGGGTTCAATGCCTGGTACCATAAGAAAAACATGAAAGTTTAATATATACGTCCACGTAAAACTTGTAATACAACTTACATTTTTATAGGACACATTAGTCCATACTTTAAAAGTGAAGGTTTAATACATATTTTTACGTAAAATTACAATACAATTTGTGGTTTTTTGTTTTTTTTTTTTGGTACTGGGGATCGAACTTGGGACCTCGTGCTTGCAAGTCAGGTGGTGGCACCACTGAGCTAAATCACCAGCCCTATAATTTGTTTCTTTAGACTCATATGTTAGTCATCTAAAAGAATTCTTAAAATTGAATACCAATAAAGCCAGTGTCTTATGAAGACGAATGGTAAATTTCTCCGTTTCCAAAAAACATTATAAATGCAAGAAAAAAAAATTTGGAAATTCAGACCAATTGGTCTTCTAAATTTCTTCACACGGCAGCATCACACACAGTTAACACCTATACTATCTATCAGGAACTGGAAGTCGGCAATCCTCAAAATGACCACTGTAGCTGAAACAGTACTTAGCTGTCTTCAATGTTAGTAAATAATGGACACCTGCAAACTATCACTGCCAACATGGGAAGCAGAAATCCTACCTGACGATTTCTACTCTGGTTGCGCACTCAGACTGCTTTTCTTTCCACTGAGGCTCATCCCAGTCCAGTTCGTAGAACACAACCACCAGAGCTGGCACCAGATTCAGATGCTTATTCATCCAGCCAGTCTTTAAGATCCCTTTAGGAATGTACCATTCATACGAAGTTCTCTGCAAACAGGGATAAATTAGTTATTTGATAATGATAACAGCAGGAAGTACTTACTGAGGGCCCAGCACGTTATATGCATTTATCTCATTCAGTGTACACACTGCCCATTTTTAAGATGAGAAAATCATGGCAACAGAGATTAAATAACAGCTAGCAAGTGTTTGTTAGAAGTAGAATCTCAAGCCTAAAAACACTGCACTTCCCATTTAAGGAAGAATGGACAAAGCCAAGGAGTTTCCCAGGAGGCTGGGATAACAGGTGTACACCGCCACAGCTGGCCAAAAGTCAGTTCTTGACTTAATGCCTTCCTTCATTCTACAATGAGTATAGTCTTAGTTTATACTACACAAAATTTCCAAGCACATTCAGTATGTCTTATGTGAATTTGTATCATCTGAATAGTTTCAATTATCTAAAACAAAAGTGCTCAAAAAAATGTATGTGGAATGGAACTAATCTATGAAGAAAATGGATTCTACAATATTAGTAATGATGAGTAGGAAATGGGAGGGCTTCCTCTTAAAAGAACTTAAAATTGTGGAGACATAAGAGTTTTTTTCTACAAAATAAAAAAAGGACAATTGGCTTACTGACTAGAAATCTTTTTAAAGTAATTATTCCTCTGGAGTTTAAAATAATAACTTACTAATTAAATATATACATATTAGTATTATCAGTACATATAAACACCTCCAGTTTTCTTTATGCACCACAGTAGCCACTGTTTTGATATACTTAAGGGTTTCCCAGCACACATAGTGGGAACAAAAAAGATATACACACACACACACCCACACACACACATACACACACAAATGGGGGAAAAACACACACTCTTAATGTCATTACCTTGGGTCTACATTTAGGATATTCATGGTCACCTGGGAGCACCTTGAAGGAAATTGGTACCCGATCAGCTCTCCGATTGGCACAGAAAGCATCCCAGACTGCTCGATGCACCGCATTATAAACAACATCTAGGCCCGTAAGTGTAACAAAAGCCATAGGCCGACAACATAATTCCACAGGGAAGTCCCACTGTGTGGGGCTCATGTTTAAGGTGTCACAAAAAAATCTGAAATGCAAATGACAATTCACAGTTTCAAAAACTAATATCTGTATCTAATATATGAATATCTACTATTTAAAAAAATTATTATTTTCAGTAATATCTCAAAATGTATCCCAAACTTGGGGATTAACTGACCAAGATGTAGGAAAGTGATCAAATTAAAGTAGGTCTGCATGACCTATTTCGACCATAAATAATAAAACAAAAATAATTATTGACTTACATATATTGAAAAGTACAATTTCCTCTAATTTTTCTGTAATTGCTAACATCTCATTTAATGCCTAAAATATTATTAAAAGATGCTTATTAACTAAATCATAGCTATCTTTTCTCATTTTCCACAATATAAAATACACTATTTAAAGGAAAACCTGTAAGAGAAAACTAATAATGAATGGAAACCTGAAGGACATGTTTCTACCATGTCCTTTAGCTGAGTGCTGAGTCTATAATAAATTCAAGCATGAACTTACTTTAGAAAAGAAATTTTTATTAAAGTATGCTTATTCTAAACAAAATTATTATTCTAAGAATTATTTGGAATTTCCAAGAAGATATATCATGAGCTTCTTTCAATAGGTAATCTCCACCAATAAGTTATAAAGACCCCAAATATAATCTGTGTGAAAAATGGGGTGCATTTATACGACCACTTGAACCCTAAAATACACAATACTTCTAATTTAGAAAAGCCTGTTAAGAATCTCATATTCATGTGCTGATGGAATAACGGGTACTGAATAAATGATTCGGAAAGCGTACCAGAAATGATAAATGTCTATAACATAGGATTAAGCTATGAGGGTAGAGAAACACAGGTCCTAGTTTCAGGGAATTTGGGATTGAAAATAAAAAAAGAGGTGGTCAAATAGTATAGGTACCTTTGCTTAATACCAAAGAATCTACCCTACAGTTCTAAAGCTCTCTCTTAATCCCAGAAACTCAAAAGAAATAGCTGTAGTCTTTAAATATGGAGTGGAAACAGTAGGAACTAGTACTGACTACAAAGCTTTAAATTAAGTCCACTCAAGAGAAATATAGTATGTGCCACATTATTTGAAATTTCCTGGTAGTAACATTAAAGAGCAAAAGAAATGTGTGGAAATCACTTTAATAACACTCTATTTAACCCAGAGTTTCTAAAAATGTTAAACATTAATATAAAGTTATTAATGAAATACTTTGCGGTTTGGGGGCTAAGTCTTCAAAATGTGGTGTATATTTTACACTCACAGCACATCTCAATTCAGACTATCCTATCTGAAGCACTCAACTGCCTCTGTGGCCACTGGCTACCACACCGGACAGTGCAGCTTTTCATCACGGTAAATCTGTTCCAGAATTATTGTAAGAAAATCGTGTGAGAAATTCCTGCCACATCCTACTTTCGGGGCTTTGGCACTTGAAATGGTCATGCTTATTCTATGGCAAAGTGATGGGAAAGGAAAGAACACCGGTAAAAGACAGGTGCGATCTCTGCCAGCCAGGGGAGGGAAAATTTCCAGATTTCCTGGAAGATGCCAGGGGAGCAGCTAAACAACGCGTGACACGGAAGGAAGGACGGACGTGCAGAGGTGTAAGTGAGCACTGTGGATGGACGTCATGTAGTGGGAGAAAAGCAATCTGGAAGCTATATGGAAGATTATAAGGAAGGCAACCCAATCAAAGTGGTAAGTAAGAGAATGCGGTTATTATGTTTAATTAAGTGGATTTCGGAGCGCAGGTCATAGGCTAGTAAGAATGAGACTCGGAGATATCAGGCTATAAAAGGATCAAAGCAAGAATGATAGTTTGGGGTCAAAGTGGTGTGGGAGTGGAGGGGAGCTGATGTTGATGTGAACAAAAATCCAACCTAGGAAAAGACACTGTCCCCAGGATCGCAGTATTTATCCTGCCCTGGTAAATAAAAAGCGCAAAGGAAGAGAAACAACCTTGCAACCTTAAAGGCAGACCTTAAAACCTTCCTCCTCTACTAACCCATGCCCACCTCGAAGGCCTTAGAAATAAACGCGTTTTTCTCTAGGGCTGAAAGGGAAGGGCCAGGACTGCACTCATCGACGCCTTAGGAAAACGCAGGGCCCCAATTAGCACTGAGAAGGGCTGGCCCTCTTCTTCGACGGTCTTGCCTGTCCCGCAGAAATCGGGGCTTGGACTCACCCTGAACGCACGCCCTGGGCCCGCTGCAACTGTGGCCGGTCGCTGCCAGCTGGGGAGGACAAAAGGAGGTAGGCAGGAGTGTCACAGAGGCCACAGCCCGGGAGCCAGCTCCAGCAGGAGAGACTTCCTTTGCTCCGCCTCCGCTGGCACAGGAAGCACTTCGTGAGTCTGAGTGACAGAGTGCTTCACCAATCGCAACCCTGAACTTTGCGCAGAGCCTCAAAATGTAAGGAAAACTCTCCATCTCCTAGTTGAGAAAGAGCTAGGGAGGAGAGAAAAGGCGCCAATAGGAGAAGCGACAGGCGGGGGGGGCGGAGCCTCCGCCGTTACCGCCCCGCAACTTCTACCCGGACGCCGGGAAGCGCCCCTTAGGTGCCCTGAGTCTCCTGGCTCCGCGCCCACGGCCCACAGTGCCCGGCTTCAAGCTGACGAGTGTCACGGCTGCGCGTGATCTTGGCTCTACCGCTGCGAAGAGGGTGCTGCCTTACCTCGCAGCCGAGGCACAGAAAGGGGACGCCCTGGCCTCGGGGCCACTGTGCTCGCTTTCAGTGCGCAGTCGCGAGCGCTGTCGGCCTGGAAGGCGGCCGGCGCGATGAGCGCCAACGAGGACCAGGAGGTGAGCACCCTCCCCTCCCCCGGCTGGACGCCCCTTTCCCGCCGAGCCCCGGGCGCCGCGCGTGTCCCTGCCTTGGAGCCTGGCCCGGGTACCCCACGCGCGCCGGGACCCTGCGAGGAGAGCCCAAGCTGTCGTGACGGGGTAGGAGGCTGCCTCGGTCTCCTTCCCTCGTTTTTGCAAATCTGGGAGCTTCCCTCTTAAGAAGGAATCCCCGTGTGTTGCTGCTTTTGAATCCAATCACCTTATAATTTTAAAAGCCGTTTATTGGTAGAAAGAGGGTTAGTTATGACAGTTAAATTTTTGGTGGAGGAAAATAATAGTGGTGTCTCCGGCTTCTCTCTGTATTGTTGAGTGAAATCATTTTGCCATCTGTTACTTGTCCCGTGAGTACAAAATCTGTTCTGAGTATATGTGTATCTCTTGAATTGTATGGTTTACGCGTTGTGGTTTCTTTGGAAAATGTCAGTTTGATATTGAATCTTACAGAGTTGGAGAAGCTAGAACACTACAGGTCAACTGAGGGGAATCTTTTAACTTTGTAATGTGTATGAATGAAGAAAAAAATAAGTGTCTCCAGTGGTAAAAAAAAAAAAATCAATGCTCCAGGGCTGCACAGAGGGTATATGATAGAATTAGGACTAGAATTTAAGTCTTTTGGGTAGAATAGGTAACTACTGCTAATAAGGAGCTACTGCTTGAAAGTGTTTTTACACGAAAGATGTAATACAATCTCTGGATTGGCAGTTATCTTTAAAGGAGCCGAAATCAACGAACTAATAGATATATGAGTACTCTTTTAAAATATTCCTGGCAGGCGAGTCTCAATATCAAGGCATTAATATTTTGATTCTTGAGAAGGAGAACAGAAGAGATTAGTCAGTGGATACCGAGTTACAATTACAAAGAACAAACTTTTGCACAGTAGAGTGACCACAGTAAACAATAAGGTAATGTATAGTTCAAAATAGAAGAGGAAATTTCAGATGGTCTCACCTACAAAGAAATGTTGAATGTTTGAGATGAAGGATATGCTATTTACCCTGATCTAATTATTATGTTGTCTATACATGTATCAAAGTACCATATTGTACCCCATAAATATGTACAGTTATTATGTGTCTGTTAAAAGTAATTGTCTTCCTGCAGAACAGAAACATATAGTATAATGTTTCTGAAACTTTGACCTATGGACCACTGTAAGTTGTTAAAAAACAGGTGCCTGCACATCACCTCAGACCAACCAAATCAAAATTTCTATGATGGAACCTAGCAATCTTCTAAGAAGAAAATTTTGTTCCTCCTGGATATGTGGATCATTGAAGACAATTTTCTGCCCCATTTTTAAGAGGTCCTCTTCTCAAATAAAATGGTTCCTTTTAACTTTTCCTCATAAATCTGTTCTTTTTCATTCCTTTACTATCTCAGAATTGAATATTTATAGACAAATTCTCTTTATGTCCTGTTTTAAAACTGTGGCATCACACTATTTTTCTGATTTATCATCACCTGACACCCTTTGACTGCTTTATACAAAGCAAATTGTCTTTCATCCTTTACTTGTATATTTAGATATCTAACCAAAAGTTCTAATTACCGTGTTAAATTTCATCATTGGTTTGTTTTTCAAGAACTTTTTGGAGTCTTCCTGTAAAATCAGCATGATTCGCTGTCTCATCAAATTATCATCCACAGATTTTTACAAATTTAACCTATTTTTGTTCCTGTCCAGGCCATTAATTAAAATATGAGAAACTATTAAGAATAGCACTGTAAATGTTGTTTCTGTAGAGGGAGAAAGAGCAATTTGTGGGGCCTTGCTGATATCTAGATAGAATGAGTTTAGTGCTTTTTTCTCATCTACCAATGGAGCTACCCTAACAAGGGTTAGATACATTTTGTTTTGCATATGCTTTCTAAGTCTTATGAATTGCTCCTTGCTCTCCTGGGTCATCATAAGCTCTTTTTTTTATGATCTACTCTAAAATTCTGTCCATGTAGATCAGGGTCACCATTTTTAATTTATAGAATTCATAACATGAATCTTTTGAAAACTAGAGCATGTACCCAAGAGCATTCTGTCTTTGCTTCTTTTCTGTGGGATTCATCAGTTATCTCTAACAGTGGTTGAGATTTCTCATTTATAAGACTACAGTGTTCTAAGAAATATTTTCAGGCAAGGATTGCTAGTTACAGTTTCTCTTGCAATCCTAACCCTCATCTTGAGTAGGCCCTATCAACTTTTTCTTAAAGTTCTTTTTTTTTGCTCCTGTTTATGCGTTGAATCAGTCTATGCAAAAGATTGCAGATATGAACAACATGTGTAAAAAATGGGAAAATATTGTGCTTTATATTTCTCATCTCAAGGCTAATCCTTTTTCTACCCCAAGCTACTTTTCAATAGAGTAAGAAATAGCATATTCTCTAGAGTTGCTTTTTTAAAAATCTTATTTTTCCAAGGTAGGAAGGAAGAAATAAGATAATGGTATCTTCTTCACAGGAGTGATGTGAAAATTTAGTGAGATGATGCAATATAAAATGTTTAGCAGTACTTGACTCATAGTTTTAAAGTATTATTAGTATAGTTGTGAAATATTAAAATGTACATATATATCTTAAATATCCAAAGCCATATAAATTTGCCACAATTTACATCATTGAATCCGGTACTAAAACCTCTGTTTCTAATCTGTTTATACCATGAAACAAAACTCATGATTCTTTTCTTTCAGATGGAACTAGAAGCATTACGTTCTATTTATGAAGGAGATGAAAGTTTCCGGGAATTAAGTCCAGTTTCATTTCAATATAGGGTAAGATATGACATGAATAAGTACCTGCTTTAGTAAGAAAAGAAAAGAAAACAAAGCAAAGCAAAAAATTCCCCCAAAATGCTGATTTTGTACTTTGAAATTAGTACTTTAAATTTATATCTTTCTACTTTCTGAAGCCTTTAAATGAAAATTTAGCACCACGACATTAATCATTCTTAACATTTGAAATGTAATTCAGAAATTATTTTAAAACACAAAGATAACTTGGTTTTACTGTAACAGAGTCATAAAACGGAAGAACTTTAGAATGGTTTGACTCTCTTAGAAATGACTTCCCTCCCTCATAGCTTCCTGAAGCCCTACAGTTGATATTGATACATAGTAGGATTAAGGTTCAGGTCTGTGTTCCAAGTCTAGTATTCTTTTACTACTCTAATATATAGAAAATAAAAATTGATATTTTAAAATTATGTATTCTAAATTTGTATGAGTTTTTTTTTAACCTATATGAAAAGAAACATAGACCTTTCTTTAAAACAGGCGTTGTTTAAAATGCTGTCTTCAACATAAAACAGCACTATTTTTCTTAGTATTTTATTTTTAAAATAATATAAACCATTTATCTAAATAATTATGTAGTGGTATGATGAAAAGGGTTTTGTGGAAGTTTTCTGGAACTTTTGTAAAAGTTATTATGAACATTATCCCCATTTAAAGTAAATTGTAAGAGAAATGATCCTTATACCAATTGTAGGCTGTCACAGGAAATAAATTCTTATAATTATTTCTTTTGTATATTCTTCTTTCTTTTTATTTTTTTGAGACAGGGTCTCACTATGTAGATGAAACTGACCTGGAACTCACTATGTACCTCAGGCTGGTCTCGAACTCACAGCTATCCTCAGCCTCCCGAGTGCTGGGATTATAGGCGCGCGCCACCACGCCTGGCTATTCTTTCTTTTCAGCAATTCCCAATTCCCTCTTAAACTCAACAGTCTCTACAGAGTTTCCATGTATCTAACAACTTTTTCATGCATACAGTTAATGATGGAGTTAAGTCCTAGACCTTTGTATTTAACTCTAACTGCCTTCCCAGATTTTCCCAACCACCACCACCCTCCTCTTAGCAAATAGGAGCTTGAAAATTTCCCTATACCTTCCTGATGTCTCCATCGACAATACTATTTATTAAGCACAGTATGCAGAATACTCTAGTAAATAGGTGTGCATTCTAGGTTGGATTTAAGAGGAATAAAACATAAGATTGGAGATAGTGCATTGACAGTCAAAAGAAATGAACTAGAATCCTGCATAGTCCTAGTGAAGCCCCTCCATTCTTGTACAGAATAGTTTAGTAGGCTCCTAAATGACTTCTCTGCTTTCAGTTGTTTGGCTTCCTCTTTATTCTCCACCATTAGATGGCCAACAGACTACTAGTTATCTAAAATTTAAGTAGTGAGCCCATTCCCTTGTTCAAAAGTTTCCTCCATGGATTCCTCTTGCCTATAGAGTGAGCACTGAATTCTTTAGGTTATTGCTCAGAGTTTTTCTGCATGTTTCAAAGTGCCTCTCCACATTTTCCCAGCCACTGATATCCATTAAAATAATGGATTGTAGTTGGGGATTTAGTTCAGTGGTTCCACCACCTGCCTCACAAGTGCAAGGTCCTGAGTTCAATCCCTGGTACCAAAAAAAAAAAAGAGAGAGAGAGAGAGCATGGACAGAATAATGGATTATTAAATGTTATCTGAAGCATTTTTGTAGTATTTTGTTTTTGGACACATTGTTCACTGTTTTCTTCACCTCTCAGCTGTTACCTATCTGATTTTTCTAGCTGAAGCCTCCTCTATGAAATATTTGGGCATATCTCCTTGACCTTGAAGCAGAATTAAACTTTCCCCATTTCTTCATGCCTTGCTCTGTCTCTTTAATACTATTATTCATACTGCAAATGTCTTATCTCTTTGAAGACAGGGATGATCTGTTCACCTAGCACAGCTTGAGACGTGGCAATTTGTTCCTAAATGTACCTTGAGTAAGGACTTAAATGATTGCATAGAGCAAGTGACTTACAATTTTTAATTATTATATAGCCAAAGCAAGCATAAACTCATGATTTCCATTATGTACATAATTAATTTATATAGGTATATCGCCAACAGATGCCTAAATTTGTTGGTGTGATTTCTATACCTGACCTTATATATGATTGAAGGTAAGGGGGTCAAAATGAAAAACTGGACAGAAAATAAAAATGAATCAAGTAATAATTTGAATTGAAAAATACTGCTGTTATTTAAAATCGTTTTAAAACAAATAGCATATGTATAAAAATATCAAAGGAGATTAGCATAACCCTGAGTCAGGATGATTGTTGATTAATGAACTGTTCCACAGTTTTATTAGAGAACTACCATTTTGTAACTAGTATAATAATTGATTCAGGCAGGGCCATTAATAGATTCTAAAATATTTGGAATTCACAGTTTGTAGGTTACTTCTCAGCTACAAAAGAAAAGGAATCTTTACATTGAAGACATCTGCAGAATGTCACTTTACCCAGGTGATCAGACTCAGCATCACCACTGATGTTTCCAGAAGATCTTACATGCCTTCTTGCATGGTGCTGTGAGAGTGTACCACATGGCCTATGTAGTGCCCGTACCAAATGTTTCATTTCATTCCGAATAGAGGACTAGGAATGTGATACAAGAAAATCAGCCTGGATTCGTATTATCACAAAGACATTTTAAAAGCAGGGGAAAGGGTGGGGACTGTTCTAAATTAAAGTAGAATAGAGAGACGTGACAACCAAATGCAATCTATGATCCTTCAGCGGATTATAGATTTGTGGGTTAAAAGTAATAATTTATTAAAGGATACTTTAGATATGATTGGAGAATTTTAAATATGAATTATATATTAGATAACATTTTTGTATCAATGTTGAATTTCTTGGGTGTTATAATGGTCTTGTGGTTATAAAGAGAATGCCGTTAGAATAATTTATTCATAAATGTTTGAGGACATTTCATTACTTTGAAATGTTTCAACAAAAACTAAAGGAAAAAAATCTCACATATCAGGGGAATGGGAATTCATTCAGTGGAAAGGGAGAATAAAGTAAGTGCAGGAAAAAGTTTTAAATAAATACCAGTGAGCATTCACTGTACTATTTCAGTTTTTAGAAGTAAAGAATTTTAAAATAAAAAGCTGAGAGTAGAGGAAAAAAGACCCTCCTGAATTATTCAGGAAATTGTCCAGCCTAAGGCCTTCTGTTTTCCTTATCCTTTGCTTTTCCCTATCAATATTATACTTTGTTTTCTGGTCTCTTGAGATTGTGCTAATGTATATTGATTTACTTTTTATACCTTTTGTGATTCAGCAGTTGAAAGAGAAAGATAAGGTGTTTTTCTGAGTTTATGGATTATTATTTGTCTCCACTCTGTTCTTGTTCCTCTCACTTGATGTCTTCATCCTCAGAAAACTTGGTGAAACCTAAAAAACTATATAAGGTGCTAAGTAGTAGCGATACTAGAAAAGCTGGTGGGTTCATTGAAAGCCAGGGCATGGGCATAGACTTACCTTGTATCCCTGAGCTTTTCAAAGTACCACATTTCTATGCTGAGCATGAGTTGGGAAAGAATTATTGTAAAGTCATACAGTTTGGTATTGTGTCTCTTTGTCACTTTTCACAAGCCTAAGATTCTCCTTTCTTCAGATAGGTGAAAGTGGTGATCCCAAAGCCTTCTTAATAGAGATTTCATGGACAGAAACATACCCCCAGACACCTCCAATTATATCTATGAATGCTTTTTTTAACAACACCATGTGAGTAGTTTTCTGTCATTATGTGGTTTTTTTTTTTCATTTTACTTGCTATTTTTCTTTCCTCCTAATAACATGTTTGGCATTTGTAGATCATCGGCTGTAAAGCAAAGTATATTAGCCAAGTTACAGGAAGCAGTGGAAGTTAACCTTGGAACTGCTATGACTTATACATTGTTTGAGTATGCCAAAGACAATAAAGAGCAATTCATGGAAAATCACCATCCTGTTAATTCCACAGTGAGTATGTGATTATTGTTTTACCATAGTCTTTTGTCGTTTTGTTTTTGGTCTGCTAATAATTACTTTTTGCTAGTTAATACATTTTGAAAATTGAAGACATTATATTATGTTTAAAATGAATTGTAGCCGGGGTTTAACTCGGTGGCACAGCCGCCTGTCTCGCAAGCACAAGTTCCTGAGTTCAATACCCAGTACCAAAGGAAAAAGAAAATCAAATGAGTTATATCTGCATCAAGTAAGAACAGTGAATTTTAGATTTCTTCACATTAACACAGAAAATGAAATTATATCCTCTAGAATTTTACCCTTTATCAAAAAGCTGGAATGCTTCTTATGCTTATCAAAACTGCAGGACTGTATAACTTAATATCTTTTAAAATTTATGTCTTCATAAAGCATATGTAGCTAAAGGATTTCTTGTGTAGTGCTAAAATATATATGAAATTGTTTTCTCCACCAGGCTTGTCTTATTGTAAATATTCTTGCCTTTATTCAACATAAAGGTGTTAAAGCTTAAGGAGACTTAATGAATAGAAAAAGTAATGACTTAATTTTAGAATAATCATCTTTTATGACCTTAAGTATCTTGTGCACCAAGTTCTGCACTAAAAAAACTTTGAGTAGGGCCAGGGATTTAGTTAGCTCAGTGGCACCATGCCTTTCTCTCAAGCACAAAGTCCTGAGTTCAATCTCCAGTACTGGAAAAAAAAAACTCAGTAGTCAATATTAATAGAATTTTGTCTTGTATACCAAACTGATCGTGGTAGCAAAGGCAGTTGTCTACTTCAGTGTGCCTGGCTTCCACGCTCTCAGTAGAACTTTCTAATAGGGTGAAAAACAGAGATGGGAGTAGTAACAGGTGCTAACCAAGCCTGTCTGGGTTCAAGTCTTCACTGCACCGCTTGTTAGAACCCTGTGACTCTGGGCAGTTTCTCAATCTCTCTTTGCTCAATTCCTCATCAGTAAAATGGGATTTATAATAGCATCTACCTTATACAGTTGCAGCGAGGATCAGGAGACCAGAATGTTCACATAGGGTACATGTGACTTTCCTAAAGATAAGCTTAAATTTCTAAATAATAAGTTAACTGAATTTTAAGCCATCTTGGAACCTCTGATCTTCAAACTAATGCAGATCTTCTTTCTTACAGTTCTGTTATTAACTGTTTCACTAATACTGTATCCCTTGATTAAAACTTTTAAAGTGAGAAACCAATAATACAGTAAAGGCAACTGATTCAATAAATGAATAGTGAGATTCTTTTATTTTATAAATCCAGAGATTATCAACCCATTTCAGGAGGTGTACTGTAATTCAATAAGTTTTAAGACATGAGTCTAAGAACCATTTCTTTCTTTTTAGACATCCATAAGCAATATCATCTCAGTTGAAACTCCTAGTATAGCCCCATCAAGTAAGAAAAAAGAAAAGAAAGAACTTTCAAAAGCTCAGAAACGCAAGCTGGCAGATAAAACAGGTTTGTGTTATTTTTTTTTATCTTTTATAATGCAGATAAATGGTTTGCTTTTTAGTGTGATGTGAATGCTTAAAATATTTAAATTTAGAAGATTAATTATCTGCTTTTTATTCTTGGAACATTGGGATCAGGAGACCTCTTGAATCATAGTACAGAAATCTTGTAAATACTTCCTGTTGCTTTAGCACAGGGCATAATCATTGAAAAACAAGGTGACTGAGTGGCAGAGTAACTATAAATGAGTCTTGAGAATGAGGAACATTAGAATAGCGCACAAAAACTTGGTTCCTACGTGTACATTCTAACATATCTGGGATTTTCTTTGTTTACCTTTATGGCAAGTATGTGTATTATTAAATATTGTGTGAAATATGGCTTTCATTTGAAGTGAAGTCTAGTATACTATTAGATCTTAGCATAGTAAATAATTATTTTCTGTAGTTATTTTTAAACAAGATATAGAAACAGAATTCTCGTGTATCCTAAATGAGAGGCCTTTAGAAAATGATTATAAACTCCAAGTCATTATCAACAGTATTTGATCCCTTTTCTTTAATTTGGAAATTTATGTCAGTATGTAAATTTTTCATTGTTAGGGAAAAATGAGAACATATCATGTATACACATATACATTTATATGTTAGTATGTGTGTATGTGCTCCTAATATAAGATTACAAACTTCCTTTTGAGAAGGTGGGTTTAAAAATGACCTTCTTGGGCCAGGGATTTAGCTCAGTGGTTCCACCGCCTGCCTTGCAAGTGCAAGGACCTGAGTTCAATCCCCAGTACCAAAAAAAGAAAAAGAAAAATGACCCGGGCATGGTGGTGTACACATGTAATCCCAGCACTCAGGAGGCAGAGGCAGGAGGATTGCTGCAAGTTCAAGACCAGCCTAGGCTACATAGTGAGTTCCAGGTCAGTCTCACCTACATAGTGAGACCCTCTCTCAAAAAACCAAAAACAAAATAAAAATAAAAATGACCTTCTTCTGAGCCTGTCAAGGCAACTGGTAGTTCCCATTTCCCCAACCTTGAATGACAATCACTTGGGGTAGTTTTTAAAATTTGGAATTGCATGTTGAAATGATTACAGGCTGAAATGATGCTGTTGTGGATATACTGGGTTAAGTAAAATACATTATTAGCAACCTAAAAAAATAAAATATCCTTTCTTTTATAATGGGATAGTAGGACTGGTGGTGTGTGTGTGTGTGATGTCTATTGTGGCAGAATAAAAAGAGAATCCTGTAGCAGTCTCTAAAAATATATTTTATGAAATAAAAATCTAGGACTCTATTATACTGCAACAAATCAGCGCTAGTCAAGTATTAGCTATTACAATCTGTTTTCTAGAATTTTGGTTATTCTCTTTTTGGAATGTCATTTACCTATTGCTTGTATGCATAATGACCGACCTGTGATCATTTTCTTTCATCAATATCTGCCTATCTTCATCTCTGTGAATTATCTTCCTATAATGACAGTGTAGCAATTTGTGATTTGGAACTCTAATTCTAATAAGACTTTGGTGCTTGCTTTGGCAGTACATATACTAAATAAGACTTTATTGGACAATCACAGCATTGTGGGTAAGTTTTAATTATCCAGACGTAGTTATCTGCCTTTGTGCCCTTCATAACCAATAACCAGTGGAGTTCTAATTGTCATGAAAGACAAAAGAATCATTACCATCTAAAATTATGCTCTAGGCAAAGTGGCACACACCTATAATTCCAGCTATTTGGCAGCTGAGGCAAGAATATCCAAGTTCAGGGTTAGCCTGAGAAACTGACATGGGCTGATGATATTACTCAATGGAAAGGCCTTGTATTCAATCCCTGGTACCAAATAAATACATCTCCAGTGATATTACATTTCTCTTATAAGAACCATGAGGTCACTTTGTTTTCCTTTGCTGAAAAATCAACATAGGTTGAATATCCCTTAATGAAAATGTGTAGGACCAATAACAGTGTTCAGATTTCAGAGTTTTCAGGTTTTGGTTTATTTGCATAATTACCAGTTGAATATCCATAATCTGAAAATCCAAAATCTGTAACAGTCCATTATCCAAAACTATTAAAAAAAAAATTGAGATTATAGATAAATTTCAGGTTCTCAGGTTAGGGATGGTTGATTTGTATAATGTGCTGGTTTTGAATGTGGATTTTGATGGCTTCGTAAGTGAAATGTAACTAATATACATGAGGCATAAGGAGTCAAATCATTTTAAAATAGTATTTGGTAAACTATTCTTTAAATTTAAATGTGCTGTATTAAAAGAACGAAAGCATTTCCCCCTGTAGCTTGTCTGGGCTGCACTGAGTGAAAAGAAATTATTTTCAGATGCATATTAATAAAACATGATATAGTTAGTATATATAAATAACAAAACCTCCTTTTTAAAATATTTTCATTATAGTGTTAAAAGAGGGCAGGTGCCCTGCAGGTTAAACAAATTTTTACAAAGCCCATTTGCCTATCAGTTGGAAACTGGATAAAGAAGATGTGGTTTTTCTATAAAATGGAACACTACTCAGCCATAAAGAATGAGAATTAGAGTCATTCATAGGAAAATGGATACATATTGAGGATATACTCCTAAGTGAAATAAATAAGTCACACGTGTAAATACCGAATAGTTTCTCTGGTGTGAAAAACTGTAATGGTATGTAAGATCCTAATGAGATAACTGACAGTGTGAAATAGGAAGAAAAGGACTAAAGGTGTAGGGAAAGTGGGAAGGGTAGGGGAAAGGTAATAAGGGAAAAGAAAAATATGTGAGAAAATGAAAAAAATGGAAATAAAATGTTTGTAAATGGGGAGGATAAGAGGGGGTGAAGGGAGGGCAGGGACAAGGGGAAAAAATGAGAACCAAGACCTGTCCTGTAAAGGTACAAGATCTCAATAATGAATGTAACTGTACTGTATACCTAAAATGTACTAATAAACTCAATAAAATTTGGAAAAAAAAAGTTACCAACTTATTTTCAGTCACTCTCAATAAAGCCCTTTTTTGAAGAATATTACATTAAAAAGTGAATATCTTATAACACAGCTAATTAATACATAAATTAACAAGGCTTCCTCTTAGTCTTGAAGCCATACATTTGTTTATGAGGCCTGTGTCAAGCCTGACTTTTTGATGTGAAATACTAACTTATGAAACAGTAAACTAACACAACTTCTTCCTTAAAAGAGCAGTGACCTTCGGTAATCCCAACCCTGTCCATATTTTTCCCTAGATAACAGGTTTTGTCCTGATGAGAAATAGGGCCAATGTAAAAGGAGAAGTACAGTACCTCAAATACTTCACAGGTATTTTCAAGAGAATGGTGCTTTCAATTCACAAAGATATGAAGCTGTTTTTCCAATGGTAATATGTGATTTAAACTTTTAATCTATAATATACAAAATCTTATTTGTTAGGATATTAATCCATTTAAAATTAGCTGATCAGTCTTATAAATAAAATTACTATGTTTCATCTTCCAGATCACAAAGGAGAACTTCCTCGAGGCTGGAACTGGGTTGATGTTGTAAAGGTAATTAATGTTTATATTCTGGTCTTCGAAACTGTTACATTTATTGCCATCAAATAATGACATTTATATTTTCCATTTTCCCTCCTGCAACCATTGGAATTTCCTGGGATGTCTGTGTACTTTTTTTACATTTAGCATGTAAGTATTTTTTTTGAAATAGCCTTCACATTCTTTGCTTCCTCATACCCTCAGTTTTAGATTTTCTTTGCTTAAATAATTGGAAATCTAGATAAGTAAGTTATAACTATAATAAAGCATGACTGTTTCTATAAGTACATCTCAAGAATGAGCATGCTTACCTGTCTTGTAAAGGTACAAGATCCCAATGATGAATGTAACTGTGCTTATACCTAAAAAATACCAGTAAACTCAATGAGAAAAAAAAAAAGAATGAGCATGCTTAAAGGACTAACATATATAGAAACTGAAGAAAACCAGTCATGGAAAGGACTTTTTTTTTTTTTTAGAAATCGTTCTAAGTTTTAAATTCTTCATTAAGGCCTTATCTTAACTGTAGTTGACCTTCATGAAAGATTTTTCTGGTTTTGTTATTTAAAATAGTTTACTTTCTATTTTTTTTTTCTTTTTTGGCTAACCTTTCTTAAATTTTTCTTATACTATGTGTAGTAGTTTTAAAAATACTAAACTGATACAGAACCCAATAAATTAGTTCTTTTTGTAGAATTTGATGAAATAAATTTTATATGCCAGCTAGTACCAGAACTGCCACAGAAGAATTTGTTATGACCCAAGAGTAAAAATTAGGGTTTTAGTAAGGACCCATACATACAAACAATTTACGAACAATGTATGCTTAAAATTTATTTTATAATTGACTATTTGGCCCATGATACGCATTTTCTACATAAAATGTTTGTACTTCTAGAATGTTGTACAAAAATAATACCTAAGGGTAGGATCAGAATGAAGACTGCCCCCCACCCCTTTTGGGCAAGAGTCTAACACCATAGAAAGGACTATGGAGAGGAAACTCCTCTGGGATTCTGTCATTTACCTTCTCCTCTGATGGTTGGTGGATAATTCATTTTGTCTTAGGTGTGCCAGTATGTAGCTCACCAGCTGAATCCTTTCTTTTCTCAAAAGACTCTGTGCCCCAGAATTAATGGTTTTATCAATCAGAATGTTTCTTCCCTGATATAGCAGATCTCAGCTGAAAGTGAGAAGAAAATAATCTGATTGATCTAAAGGGGGAAATATGCTCTTCCTTCTCTACCACAGAAGTTTGTTTTTAAGAGACTTCTTGATAATATAGAGAATTCCAAGTTTAAAAAAATAATAAGTAAATTAAAATAGCTCAGTAATCTTGGGAAATAGGGGAAATTTTTTCCTTGTGGTGCTGGAGATAAAGCCAGGACCTCACTCATGCTAGGCTAGTTCTTTGCTACTGAGCTACACTCCAAGCCCTGAAGAGATATTTTTAAGGTAGTTACCTAGACGTAGTTTGATCTCAGATACTGCCAGTGGTTTCCAAATGTGGTATTTGGCCCCTGGGAAATCCCTAAGACCCTACCAGGAAGATATGCAAGGTCAAAACTCTTTGCATCATAGTACTAAGATGTTACGTGCCTTTTTTTTTGCTCATTTTCTCGTGAAAATAAAGTGACATTTTGGAGAAGATGCATGGCTGGCTGCATGATCGGTTGCATGACATGTGGTGATGCCATTCTAATGCTATACTAAAGTGCTAATAGAGCGTGTGTGTGTATATATTCCTCGGCTCTCTGTAATTTTTTAAGTTAGTAGGTTTGAGATATAAAAGTTTGCTTTATTAACTCAGGTTATTCTTAGTACTTTTGTTATGTTGCCTTCTTCCACTGTACCTGTTTTATTATAAACACAGATTTGTAAGATTCCTGTTGAGCTAGATAATGAAGGGAAAAACGAAAAACTAGTGCCACTTTTACATTGTTTTGTTTAGAAAATGTAGTTATTTCCCTTTAAAAAATGTTATTGGTTTATCATATAATGGGTTTATTGTTACTTTTTATAAATGGACTATTTCAGTTTTTTAATCTCAAATCAGTAGTGTTGGCCCACATTAAAAATATAATAAGGCTCTTTAGGGTTCTCAATGTGTAAAGTATAATGAAGTCTAAAACGTTTGCGAACACTGCACATAGTATACTGTTTCTGCTTTTACAGCTTCACAAATTCTCAGGAGTTAGTGGGTATTGTGTGATGTTTTCTTGGTGATTAGATGACTATTTTAATCAGAATTATCTTTGTATTGTTTGAGAATTTTATCTGTATTACCCCAAATTTGCTAACCCCGGCCAAAGATTTCTATCCAAAAAATAATAATAATACAATTTAAGGTTTTTTAATCACATTGTCAAAATTATACGTCAAGAATTTGTTATTAATTTTTTAAAAATTATTGTCTGGTTAAGATACCAAATCTTGTGTTAAGTGTTTTTTACCATAGTTAAATTAGAATTTGTTTTGAAGAATCAGCTGTCCCTTGTGCTGGGGGATGTAGCTCAGTGGTAGAGCACTTGCCCATCATGCGTGAAGCCCTGGGTACAATCCCCAGCACTACCCAGAAAAAAAAAAAAATTATTGTCTATATTAGAAAACAAAACCAGGAGAATATACTTCACTTTATAAAAGTTAATTTCTTTTTGTATATTCTTGGTCCTAATTTATTTCTTAGAGTGTTTTGAAGAATATTTGTACTTAAGTTGAGATTATATTTTTAATATAATCTATTATATTTTTAATATCTGAAGTAGCTAAATCTAAAATTGAGAGTAGTTATATGCTGTGTATGATATAGATAATTAAAATTCAGTTGACTTGACTCTTACTGCTTTAGTTTTGATAATAATGAAAATAATGACTCAAATACTACCTTAAACTTGTTAAATATTTCTTTTTTTTTATAGTTGAGCAAAACTGGTTCTAAAGATGATGACTAGCACTTGGAATTTGACATAAGGAAAGAGCATCCTTTAAAAAGTAAACTGGGTTCAACATCTTTCATTACTATTTTCTGGTATTGAGGTGGCTTTTTATAAAATACAGTTTTTGTATGTTTCTCACATAATAAATGTAAGCGGAAAATTCATGAAGAGATCTGGTTGTACTAAATTATTTTCACAAATTTGCCTTAACAAAAGGTGAAAATGTTAGTTTAGTAGACTTTATAAAACCCGGAGAGCTTACTAAATGAACAAACATAGGGGACAACAGTAAATTTATATGAACTTATTCTGGTGGATGTGATCATTTTTAAAGAAATATGAAACCCTCTTCAAACTGTCAAAGTGGAATATTGAGTGTATAATTATTTTATATCATGATTCATATTAATAGGCTCCTTATCCTAAATAAAGTCTTCATCTCTTCTTTTGCTTAATTACTGGTATAGAATTTACTTCAGAGAAATTTAAATACCAGTATTTGAACTTTATATCACACTCTTTATAGTTACTTTTTATTTTTCAACGGTAAACTCTTGATTTGGGTCAAGATGTTTGATCGTGACAGCTTTCAATAATAAATATAATACAGTACAAAAACCGATCTGCCAATTATATTAGAAAACATTTTCATAAAGCAAACAATGATGGTGCAAGCCTATAATCCCAGCACCCTGGAAACTGAGGCAGGCGGATCATAAGTTTGAGGCCAGTCTGGGAAACATAGGGAGAAGCCTGTCTAAAAAAGAGAGAAAAAAAAAACATAAAGTAATATTTAAAGCATCTCTCTTTGCTGCATATACCAGTATGGGAATAAATGATGATGCCTTAATAATTTTTGTATTGTTAAAGACAATGATTTTAATAAATTTTTATTTATCTGCTGTTGTGTTTTTAATTGTTGAATAACTGAGGTCTTTAAATGGGTTCACATAAAACTACATTTCAAATATTGTTTTTATAGTGTCTTTTGAAGTCCAATATACCCATCAATCTCTGCATCTTTTTAATACACATGGAAGCCTTTCAAATACTGAACTGTTACACATGCTTTTTAAAGTCATTAATAAAGAAAAAACTATTGGTATAGTTTTACTAGGAAGAGTTAGCAATGTTTACATGTGATTTACAGTGACTTTATGCAGCCCTTCCATTTTAGGAACACTTAGAATTCTTGCTGTATATCTGGAAAGGTAGATTGTTAGTATGTCATTATACCTGTGCAGTTTGTGCCTGAGGTTTTTAAGGAATAATTAACTTTAAAGAAGTTACCTTAGCATAAGAGCAATTTGAAATGTATCTGTGGTTTTTACAAACTGAAGTTTGGCTTCGGTTAAATTGTTTGAAATTGTAAGTATAATTAATTACATTGAAGAAGTTCAGCCTCTTTTAAAAGCTGAATCACGTTTTATTTCTTGAATTAGTATTAATATGCCAACTAGAACATGCCAGCTTGTTTTCAGGGTTGTATATGTGTGGTTTTTATTATGTTGATTTGTTTGTTCCTTTTTTGAAGCAGCTCTGGCAGTGAAGGGAAAAAATTTTTGTTTTGCTCTTAAGATTGTGAAATTATTCAGGCTTATCATGGTTGCTAGATTACAAAGAATATTGCTAATTGAATTCCAGTGAACTATTTTTACTGTTTTTGTATGAAATGTACAAATTTCTGGGGGTGATGGTGGCCATGGTGCATCTTCCTACCTTGTGTAAAAAAATACTGGAACACTTTCATCATTATCACCGTCATCTGTTCAACACTCCCAGTAGGTAAACTCTTGATTTGGGTCAAGATGTTTGATCGTGACAGCTTTCAATAATAAATATAATACAGTACAAAAACCGATCTGCCAATTATATTAGAAAACATTTTCATAAAGCAAACAATGATGGTGCAAGCCTATAATCCCAGCACCCTGGAAACTGAGGCAGGCGGATCATAAGTTTGAGGCCAGTCTGGGAAACATAGGGAGAAGCCTGTCTAAAAAAGAGAGAAAAAAAAAACATAAAGTAATATTTAAAGCATCTCTCTTTGCTGCATATACCAGTATGGGAATAAATGATGATGCCTTAATAATTTTTGTATTGTTAAAGACAATGATTTTAATAAATTTTTATTTATCTGCTGTTGTGTTTTTAATTGTTGAATAACTGAGGTCTTTAAATGGGTTCACATAAAACTACATTTCAAATATTGTTTTTATAGTGTCTTTTGAAGTCCAATATACCCATCAATCTCTGCATCTTTTTAATACACATGGAAGCCTTTCAAATACTGAACTGTTACACATGCTTTTTAAAGTCATTAATAAAGAAAAAACTATTGGTATAGTTTTACTAGGAAGAGTTAGCAATGTTTACATGTGATTTACAGTGACTTTATGCAGCCCTTCCATTTTAGGAACACTTAGAATTCTTGCTGTATATCTGGAAAGGTAGATTGTTAGTATGTCATTATACCTGTGCAGTTTGTGCCTGAGGTTTTTAAGGAATAATTAACTTTAAAGAAGTTACCTTAGCATAAGAGCAATTTGAAATGTATCTGTGGTTTTTACAAACTGAAGTTTGGCTTCGGTTAAATTGTTTGAAATTGTAAGTATAATTAATTACATTGAAGAAGTTCAGCCTCTTTTAAAAGCTGAATCACGTTTTATTTCTTGAATTAGTATTAATATGCCAACTAGAACATGCCAGCTTGTTTTCAGGGTTGTATATGTGTGGTTTTTATTATGTTGATTTGTTTGTTCCTTTTTTGAAGCAGCTCTGGCAGTGAAGGGAAAAAATTTTTGTTTTGCTCTTAAGATTGTGAAATTATTCAGGCTTATCATGGTTGCTAGATTACAAAGAATATTGCTAATTGAATTCCAGTGAACTATTTTTACTGTTTTTGTATGAAATGTACAAATTTCTGGGGGTGATGGTGGCCATGGTGCATCTTCCTACCTTGTGTAAAAAAATACTGGAACACTTTCATCATTATCACCGTCATCTGTTCAACACTCCCAGTATATTTTCTCAGTCTCTTTACCTAAAGTCGTGTGAAATGGCATAAGTAATAAGCAATAAAGTCTGAATTACAGTAATTTCTCTACAGGTTTGATTTCATATCATGTTAGAGAGAATTGTTGATTTTGTAAAACTGCATCGCTTTATGGTGTGAGTTATACCTACCTCATAAAAACTGTTCAAAGTGTTTTAAGATTAAAGAATGTTTTTCAGATGACCTCAGAAGAAAGTCAAGAAGAAAAATGAAATGGGAGTTGCAGCCTGGAGTTCTAAGGATAGCTTTAGTTTTCACAGCTTTGGGATCCCAAGAGATACGACATGAAGTCCAGGATCAGCCCAGGACAGGGAATTACGCCCACCCAGACTTGCATCTGTGAGCGTGTGCGGCACACACACACAGAACATACTTACTGCTGAGTCCCATATCCCAGGGAGGATCCTGAGAACAGTTCCTGAGTTTAACTTTGACTCTGGATGGAGAGGTGAAATATGAGTGTATACACACACTTATATTTATATTTCGACCCCAAAAGTGCTTCACACTTGGATTTCAGCCCACATTCTTCCTCATATATATGCTCTTAAAAAACAAACAAACAAAAACAGCTTGATGGTACATGCCTACAACCCCAGCATTCAGGGACGCTAAGGCAGGAGTACAGCAGGTTTGAGTCCAGTCATGGCATTTGGTGACTTAGGGAGACCCTAAAAGGAAAGAGAAAATTGTACCAATAAATTTAATTTTAAAATGGGAGGGGGGGAGAAAGGAAGGAAAAAGAAAGAAGCAAGGAAAGAAAAGAAAAAACAGAAACAAAGTCTATGAAAAGGGGAGGTTGAAGGGGGTGAAGGGAGGGCAGGAGTATGGGGAAAAAATGAGAACCAAGACCTGTCATGTAAAGGTACAAGATCCCAATGATGAATGTAACCATACTATGTACTTAAAAAGCACCAATAAACTCAATGAAAAAAAAAAGGAAGGAGAAGGAAAAAAAAAATAGGATGTGTAGGCTCCGGTAGAGATGAATACAAAGTACTCTCTAGAACAGCCCACCTTAAGCCAGTTCTCTGAAGAGGTCCAACATACAGTTCATGCAATGTTCACTCACACAAAATTCACACAGTACGTAAGAGGCAGAGCGAAAGCCTGCCAAGGGAAGGGGGGTGGCTTCAGAGGAACAAGCCATAAAGATACAGTGATATTATCAGACTCTGAAGTGTTATTGAATAAGGAACAACAATCTAAAAAATCAGACCAATTAGGAGAAGAACCAAATAGAACTTCTTAAATAAAAAATATAATTGCTAAAATTGATATTACAGGTAAATACAAGTATTGCTTTGTGATATACTTTGCCAAGTCTGAAGTATATAAAAATATTAAATTTTAAAGTCATGCCATATAATGACAGTAGACATTTTGTTTTACCATTGCGTACTCCTTGGAGTAGAAACAACAAGAATGATTATCTGGTCATGTGTGGTTCAGAATTTCACGTTCTTCTGAGTGTTTTTCTGAAGTTTGTGATCCTTTAGTGAGGAAAATAACTCAGGGGCTTTACTAGCAGTTTTTTAATGGAATGAAGAGAATTGAACAGAAAATACCAGCATTGCACTACCTGTTCTAGGGAATGTCTTGTGAAAATTGTTTGGATTGGGATGTATATGTATGGATACTGGGTCATTATGTAAAATTTATGAGTAGTGTGAAAAAAGTTTGAAAGCTACTGATCAGAGCAAAAGAGCAACCAACATTTATGTGAATCTTAATTTTTTTAAAAAATGAATGCGAAGCTGGGTGTGGTGGTGCATGCCTGTAATCCCAGCACTCTGGAGGCTGAGGCAGCAGGATCGCTGTGAGTTCGAGACCAGCCTGAGCCACGCAGTGAGTTCCGGAGCAGTCTGAACTACATAGTGAGACCCTGCTTCAAAAAACCAAAAAATGGATGTGACTTTCAAAGTGTTAAGGACTTTTATCATTGGTATACTATTAAGTAAAGCTCATCTCACTGTATGAAAAGCAATTATTTTACTTAAAAGAACAATGAAAATTCTTACATGATGACTTCTATAAATGGCTGAAGAGAACATTTTAAGAGGCAATGCTTGAATAAACAATTGTAATAGCTTTAGTTTTTTGCTGAAAATCAAAAATAAGAACATGTGTTTAATTTTCTCACCATTTCTAGAGGAATCATTTGATTGCTGAGTTTCCTGTATAAATCTAGCTTCCAAAGTAAATTGTTCTCATAGGCTGCTGGTAGTGATAACAGACAGGAAATGTTCCCACCCTTGCCCATTTTCCTTTTGTTGCTGCTGGCACCTGGGAAGTTGGACATGTTTTTCTGTAGCCTTCTGGAGATGTTTTTGGTAGCTTTCACAGGATTTGGCCTGTTAGGAAAGTTTTCTTGGTATTTTAAACTCCAAACCATCTCTATGATCAGTTCTTTCTCCTTTCACTAGTAACAAAATGCAGCTTAGGAAAGGAGCAAAGTGCCGTGGGAGAAGGGAGATGCAGATTTAAAACATTTTGATTCATAATTAGTTGATAAGAGATTAACCTGTGGCTGTAGCTCAGAGGCCCTGTATTCAGTCACCAGCGCGCGTGTGCACACACACACACACACACACACACACACCCCGAAAGTGTTAATACGGCAATCTCTAGGTATAGAGAGAGCCAAGGAAAGGTTTTCATTGAAAGTGGATGTGGAATTACAAGAGGCTGAGTCTGTGCAGCCTGCAGATTTTTGTTTTAAGCACTGCAGCATTTCCTTCTGTTCCTACTGCAGGGTGAAGCCAAGCGACTTGCTGTATTTGTTCTTACAGCCGACGAAGGGTTTTCCACATCACTGATGATGTCACTTGTGAAGAAACATAGTTAAGTTTCAACCCCTGTGGCCTGGGGACATTTTCATCTCTCTGAGGCATCGGTGGAAGCAAGCAATTCCCGCATTCTTTTATTGTCAGTTTGGGATTCTTAAAAATCATACTTTTTTCTATTACCTACCCACTACTATGATTTTTTTTAAGCATAAAGGTGAAATTAAAAACTTGAAACTTTTTTTTTCTGAATATCCCTAAATCTAGAGTTTGTCATTTTATTCTTTATTTGATAAATATTACATATTCCTTACTTTCCGGGGGCAACTCAAATATTAAATTTTAAATTGATGCATCATAGTTATTTTGTTTGAAATCTCCATGATAACTGAGAAGCCATGAAATTTGGGTTATAAATATCCGTCTACTTGAAGAAAAGCCTAATTCCTACTACATGTTGACAAGTGCTGCCTGTGCAGTTTATGAGTTTTTACATTTTTTCTTTCATATGTAAATGTTGGACTCCTTGCTGATTGAAGTGACCCATGTAGATGGTTTTAGAAATCAAGTTGTTCTATAAGGCTTTTAAGATAAAAAGATCACCTCAGCCACATCTCATCCCATTTCCCGCCCCGTGAAGCTAACTACTTTTTGCTGAAACTGGCCAAGAAGGCTGTGGTCTGTAGTCTACTGTTGTGCCTGTGACCTCCTCTCCTATTGCTCTCTGACTGTTTGCCTTGTGACTCCTGTTCTGGATATTTCCTTTGCTTGAGACACTCCCTGTTAATTACAGGGACAACTCACCTCCAGATCTCTGCTCCAGATCTTGTTTTTAACTGTGTGGAAGGTTGAAAGCCTGCAGAGGGTTTTGAGCAGAACTGTGAGGTGAGCTGACTTAGGTTTGAGCAGTTTATTCTACCTTCTGTGTTGAGAATTGACCGAAGGAAGGAAAGAGACTAGCAGTTCAGAAAGTGGGTGAAAATGATGCCTTGAGTAGGGTGAGAGGTGAAAGTGGGAGAGAGGTGGTCGGCTTCTGGGTCTACTGCTCCCATGGGTTGCTAAGGGACAAATTGTGGGTGGGAAAAAGAGGCAACA